TTTTCAAGACATTTATCTGTTGTCATGTTCTGATCTAGTACCATTTTGGTGATAATAATCCAAAACCTTTCTTAGACAATAAAAAAGAATAACAACATGTCTGACAATATTTTCTCATTTTTTAAGGAACGGTTTGTAACTAATCATTTCATTAAGACCGGGGCTAGCAGTCGCTCCAAGATTATATATCAATCGTGTTTCACATTGGAGTATTTTGCTCTTAATGGTCTGGTAAGACTTTAAGGGGGAACCCCACACTTTTTTTTTTTTAAATGGGGTCCCTCCTAACATTCCTACCAGACCAAAGGGTCTGGTATTGTTTGGGAGAGGGAACAGCACGTTTTTGTTTTTATTTATCAATGTCATTTGTTTTTTTGTAAATATCAGTTTTGCTGCAGCAGGTTCTATACATCGTACAGATGTGCACTTTCCAGGCAGTTTAAGGGCACCTCCCAGGCACGGTATTTAAAGGAAATGTTTAATTTTTATTGTATCACTTGAAAAAAATACAGTTTTTAAAGGAGCAGTGATTTTAACATTGCTTAAAGTGTTTTTTCCATTGATACATGTCCCCCAGGGCAGTACTCGAATCCAAATACACTTTTTATGGCCAATAAATTGCATAGAAGCCTTAAAATGGGGACAATTGATTTTCAATGTTCTACCCCCATAGACTTGCATTGAGTTCAAGTTCTAATTTTCATGTTCTGAAGTTCGAATTTGAACCAAACAGTGGAGTGTTCGGCCCATCACTAATAAGGACTACATTTCCACCCTTGTCGGTCGGTTTGAATATAATATTGAGGTTTGCTTGTAGATTTTGCAAGGCCTGCTTTTGACCTATAGATATGTTATTTTGTTCACTTTTTACTTGTGGAGGTAGTTTCTGTATGTCTGCCATTACTTGTTGTGTAAATGCCCATACACACGCATTAACTTGAAGGGAGGGACATTTTTGTGATTTAGATCGATAAACGGGCTGAGCACCCCTAGATCCTTGTTGATATACATTATCAGTTTCTCGTTGTCCTTGATTAGCTGATGTTAATTCCCGATATTATTGCTCAGTTAGGGATGTGTCAAGGTGCCCATACACTGCACGATTCTCGTACGAGAATCGCGGGAAATCCCGCGATCGTACGAGAATCGTGCAGTGTGAATGAAGATGTGCGACCGTTTCTAAGGTCTTGCGATGGTTGTAAAGTGTATGGCCACCTTCACTCTCATCTAGTAATGTCATTAGATCATCAAAACAGGTTTTGGCCAGCACTTTGAGAAGCGCATAATACACATTTCTGGGTAAATAATTAATAACGATAATACATTTATTTAAGATGAAAATTACTTGGCAATAATATTAAAAATATTAATCAATTTTTATAACATGTGGTAAAAATAAAATGCAAGATTACAAGTTAGACTAAAGGAAGCTGTTATACAAGGTGTTACTATTATCTCAGTGGACTCCGGTGCCCAGTTATCTATATGGCCAGGTCGTGTTTGCAATTACTCAAGAACTCTGAGTTGCTAAACTTTTTGATTTCATGGATTAAATCGCTTATCTGTGGTTAGTTACACTCACATGAATGTATCGTGTATTTATTTATTTTTTAAGCTAATTAACTACTATATTGTTTTGTATATTCAAAATCTCTTCTACATTATAAGGCTCTATTATACCATCTTTAAAAATGTCATTAAAATGTTACATAGGTTAAGAAAGACATGTCTGTAATAGTTAACCAAATGACAAAAACAAAATAGCTAAAATTTAAATAACCTGCATCCTAAAAATCATTTACCCAAAGTTAATTCAGAGGAAGGCAGAAACCCTTATAAAGCATGGTCCAATTTGCTCCAACAGGGAAACATTCTTCCTGATTCTCTAAGGCATCAGGATACTCCCTGGATCAACAATCTGCAGTAGAATAATCTGTCTTCTTATTATAATTAGACATTAATATTCCTTGCATTATAAAAAGCATCTAGCCCATGCAAAAGAGTTGAAACTAGCTCCTGTTGAAGTCTGTTTCACATTTTCACAACTCCTACTGCAAAGAAGCCTTTTTGGAGGCACAGGTTAAAGGTTAAACCTCTTTTCCTCCAGACACGAGTACCCCATTGTCATTTGTGTTGGCGTTATAGTCAACAACTTTCCAATGAGTTTACTATATGGACCATTTATGTAGTTATACAAGGTGACCATATTCCCCTATAATCACCTTTTCTCAAGACAGAAAAACTGAATTTATTCTAATCTTTTCTCAGTGCTGAGGTCCTCTATGCTCCTTATTAGTTAGGTTGCCCTGGACTGCCCTTTATTTGAACTGGTGCCCAAAACAGGAACTGGATGTTCAAGGTGAGGCCTTACTAATATTTTGTACAGAGGCAAGATTGTGTCTTGTTATTTTGAGTATACACAGTACATCTAATACAACAGCATATATTGCTCACTCTATAAGCTGTAGATTGGCATTGCATGCTGTTAATAACACAAACAAGTTACATTGTCAATGGCTGTCCAACAGCTAAAAAAAAAAAGACTATGAAAATATGGCAATTATGGCAAACAAAGCAGTGGGTGAAAAGTGGTGTCTGTGTGGAGTGCAGAGGGTTGATGAGACTTGCTAGAGGATGGCACAATAGAGGTAGGTCTATCATAATCTTATAGCAAGGCCTGTAAGCTTGCATAGTAAGACAACTAGTGACTAGTTCCACTTTAATTTTATGATCTATCAGGTCTAATTCCATTGTTGACCAGTTACATTTCCACTAGATCAGCATTTCTCAACCAGGGTTCCTTGTGACCCTAGGGTGCCTGTTGCTAAGGTTTGAGGTATGAGCAATTTCTACCTCTCAGGTAAGTAACCACTGACAACAATTATCTCTTTTAGCAATCTGTAATGGGGGTGTCCTTCCTACTTGCAACTAAAATATGGGTTACTCTTCCCACTGACCACAAGTACTTTTATCCACTGACCACTAATATGAGGAAGGGGGGTCTTCCCATTGATCATTATATAATGGGTGATTCTTCCCACAGACCACTAATGTCAGGGTGGTGTTCTGTCAACTGTCTACCAAGGTAAGCAGCATTCTTCTCCCTTTCCACAGTGTAAAGGGCATTATTTCCACTGCCCACCATAATTACAGAATAATCTTTCCACCGACCACCAGTGTAAAAGGCATTCTTTACACTGACTACTAAATTAAAGTAGATTGTAAGCTCTCATGTGCAGGGCCCTCCTAATCATCTTGTTTCAAATTGTAAAGTAACTGTAATGTCTTTCTTATACTGTAAAGAACTTCACAAACTGTTGGCACTGTATACATCCTGTATAATAATAATAATAATAATAATAATAAAGGGCAATCTTCCCTCTGACCATTTATCTAATGAGCATTCTTTACACTGACCACCATTGAATAAAGCATTTTCTCTACTGACCATTAATGTAAAGCAATTTTTTTCCCACTGACAACCAATGTAAAGAGCATTTCTTCCACCAACCACTAATATATGGAGCAATATTTCCTTTGACCACCAGTGAAAGGAGGCACTTCTCATAATGATCACCAATCTAAGATGAACCTTCTCGACTGACCACCACTGTTAGGGAGCATTCCACTAACCACCAATGTAAGGTGCATTTTTCCACTGACAATCAATGTAAGGGGGGATTTCTCCTTTGAACCCCAATGTGAGGGAACATTACAATTTTACCTTCCTTTTATCTTCATTTATTTCCTGGTCATTGTTGTTGTTATTATTCTTGTTCATTTTAATTTCTTAATATCACTGAAAATATCTAGAGATAGACTATTCCTGGGTGCCAAATATGCTAAGTATGTAACATTCCTCATTATATTTTTTCTTATATCTCAATGTACTGTTTATACTAATGTATTGTGGGATATAGTTTTATTAATGATTAGCAGAGGTTCCCAAAGACCTAAAATATTATTTAGAGCGCTCCCCTGTTTAAAAGAGGTTGATAAAAGCGGCTGTAGATTGTAAGATATGTTTTTGTCTTTAACATGTTACTTTACTATCAACGTTAAGCTTCATTTGTCATTTAGTTGTGCAATCGCTGCATCAAAGTCAGAGGCATCCTGGGAAATCCAAGATGTAACAGTTGTCAATAACTTTTTATAGTACCCTGCTCCTGTTCTCCTGCAAGTTCGGGGTGTTTTCACATACTTTTGTGTTTTCCAGTTCTCCCTGTTACATTTTCCATAATATAACAAATAAAAATCCAGCAGAGATGGTGGGAACTCTTCATAATGGATACAACAGCTGTGCAGACCCAAGAACTGAGCTCAGAGATCTCATCATACGAGTCCTCATGAGATAGAAGAAACGGTCAGATGGTTTACCTAACAAAAAACAAAATATTAGTTTTGTGTGGACAGACCCTTTAACATATCATTAAATTGTTAAAGTGGACAAACCAATCAAAACCCACATCATGGAATTTCCTGGTGGGATCTGAGGCAGTGCTGTACTGTACTGTAGAAGTACTATGCCAGCAAACCTCTACAATGGAAGAACACACTGGCCACTAATTCAATACAGACAGTTGAACTTATGCAATCAATAAAATCTGTTTTTCCATAACACTTTTCATGTGTTGCGTGTATTTATCATTATACTGATATCATTGTGATATAAAATATATAAAACCACAACTTCCTCAATTTGATGTATAAGAGAGTATAGAGTTGGCCAAGAGATAAAGAAGCATTTGGATGTTGAAGGTGCCCAGTGACCCATCACAACTTGAAGGCTTCTACTCTTCAATAAGGTAACTGCAATAACTTATGAACACAGACTGGAGGAAAAAGAAAAAGAAAAGAGTGTTGTTCATAGAGACCACTTAGACTTTTCTCATTCCAGACTGGTCTCAGGGGTCAACCGATCACTTTTTATCATCTCGTCCCCAGCTGTGAAAAGTATAGTAAATACTTTGACGTAACTGGTCTTTATTTCTCTCCACAGACATGTATCGTCTACTGCTGCTGCTTTTGGTGGGAACCATCTCTGCCCATGCCCAAGAACCAGGTGAGCTGACAGTCTAAGATTTCTGTATTAGAATTTGGTTGAGAAAACGAAGGACATTTTTAAACATTTATTGCTTATTGAGTTAGTGTTTCAGGCTCTAACATGAACTTTTTTTTTTACATTTAATAAATACTGTATTTGGACAGGAAGTGGAGGGAACATTCCCCAAACAAGACCAGAGACAACATTAAAAACCAGATAGATAAGATTTAACCCTTCCCCGCTGTATGAGAAAAAAATATTTTATTCCTATCTGTGTCTCTGACCTTTTTCTATATAAAACCCATTAAATAGAGAGGAAGTGAGGAGAAATGCCTCCGATGGGGGCACAGACAGCAATTAAAATGTAATAATCATTTTGATGTAACTCATGTATTTTGTTGTATGTTGTTTCTATTACCCTATTCCATTTAGAGATTTGAAGATTTTTTATAGGCTACAGTATATGTATTTTACTGGCTTCAATTAGCTTTCCACATCAACAACTGCTGAGTTAAAACCAGTTACAGAATCTATACTGTTCTTAGACTTGACTGGTAAACTTGAGTTGAGAGAAAAGAACAATATAGTCACTGTGCAGCACTACTTAGCAAGAAGCAAAACCTGCCTATATAATGAACAAATACCACTGACCCTATGTACACATATAATGACATAGAAGGGTTTTTAAAGCATTAACACACTACAGGCCAAACTATATACATAACATTCTCTAGAATTTGGTGACAAGAACTATGAAGGGAAAGATAGGTTGAGAGAAAGGAGGCTGCTGCCTTCTTCTTACAATGCTACTTGTTTGGCACTCTCTGTCTTAACCTCAAACAAGCATGCAGATCAGGAAAAGTCAGAATGTAGTCTGAACCCCTGACTTGTTTTAGGTCAATGGCTCAAAAAAAGAAGCAACAGATTTGGCATGACAACTGGGCATTCAGCACTTTTAAAAGGTAAGGTCACTAGTGGTGCCCATAGTTTCTCAGTAGAGGTTGCCTTTAGCCTGAGTCCCAGTCACAGTCAAAATATCAGTTAATTTGCATAAATGGAGTCTAGGAAGTGTTATTAACCTGCTAAGAGAGAGGTGTTAAAACAGCATTTCTGGTTTGACTACATGTGGATTTCTCAAGCCAGATGATCTCTACATTGGGAAGCCCCCCCACCCCCACCCGGGCATTTTGGACCATTGTTAGATTTTTTTCACTTATGATCTGAAAATTACCAGGTTCAGCACCTCAACTTCTTGTTGGTGCTCACTCATGGCCAGTGAAGGAAGATATTTATTAGACCTGGCTCTTCCACTTTATGTATTTATTTATTTAAATGTTCCCCTATATCGTTTATAACCTTATTCTTTTTTCATGTATGTGTTTCTTCTGATCTTGTGTAATGGATGTTGCTTAAAAGAATCAAATGTGACATCAGGAATTTTTTAGGGGGCAGAAAGGAGCACATGTATGTGAGCATTGACTTGTAACAGTCTCATGTAACACGTCCCCAATTCCTCCTGCAGCAAGTTTCCTATCTTTAACTATGTCAGTAGCATGTCTGCAGTTTCTACTAATCTACTCAAACATGCCCTCTGTCTCTGACAATCTCCTGTAGCATGCCCACAGTCACTTACCTCTACTCCAGTAAGCTTGCAGTCTCTAAGAGCTTACTGTACCATTACAAACACTGACTATAATGGTAATGTCAAGTGTTGCGCTTAGGATCCAGAATATCTAGTAAATTGACCAGCTCTATAGTTACATAGTTACATAGTATTTGAGGTTGAATAAAGACATTAGTCCATCAAGTCCAACCTATTAGGATCTCATTCTAGGAGTACCCGTACCCCTGTATATTACGGTCCCTTAAGAAATCGTCCAAAAGTTTCTTGAACAATTCCACATTATTTGCTGAAATCACCGCCTGTGGCAGTGAGTTCCAGACCCTAACTGATCTTACTGTGAAGAACCCCCTTCGCACCTTGTGCTGGAATTTTTTTTCCACCAATTTTAGGTTATGGCCTCTAGTTTTTGTAACGGAGTTAATTTTAAACAGTTTATCGCTAATGTTGCTACCACCATTAAACATTTTGTACATGGAAATCATATCCCCCCTTAATCTCCTCACCTCTAATGTGAACATGTTTAAATTTAGTAGCCTCGTCTCGTAGCTCTGGTCCTCCATACCCCTAATTAGTTTGGTTGCCCTTCGCTGGACTTTTTCCAACTCAAGGACATCTTTTCTTAGTACTGGTGACCAGAACTGGACCACGTACTCCAGATGAGGTCGAACCAATGATCTATAAAGTGGCAAAATTATAGACTTGTCCCTGCAATACATCCCCTTTTTAATACAGGACAAGACCCTGCTAGCTTTGTTTACAGCAGCCTGGCACTGCAAACTACCTTTCAGTTTGTGGTCTACAATGACCCCCAAATCCTTCTCCATTTCTGACTTCCCCAGCGGCATACCCATAATTGTATAACCCATTTGTTTATTTTTAATTCCAAAGTGCATTACTTTGCATTTATCGACATTAAACCTCATCTGCCACATTAATGCCCACTCCCCTATTTTATCCATGTCCTCCTGTAATGTTAAAGTGTCTAAGTCCGTGTCTATTACCCTCCCTATTTTGGTGTCATCCGCTCTATGACACCAAAGCTCTATGGTGCGTCATTGACTTCACTTTCTACCTTAAACTTCACAATTTAGCAAATTTATTATTAAAAAAGTACACATTTAAAACTGATTTGTATCAACAGGATTTAGGTCTGACCAGATCTAACTTTACTGTCAGTACTGCTCTGGAGAGGGATCACAGACATGCCTCCAGCAAATATAGAAAAAAATATTTTACTTCTAAAACATCTCAACATTTAAATTTTTTTTTAAAGAGGATTGCCCTCAGGATGACTCTAATGAAATAACAGATCTAGATGGTGTAGAGAATAATTGTGACATGCCTGGTGCCCTGGAGACAACTCCTTTAGATGATTCCCAGTTGGAGCAATGTGACAATGTCACTGTACAAGTCAAAAAAGGATCTGACCATTCTTGTCCAGACAAAAGCAACTGTTACTATCAAGCTTTCAACTGCCCAACAACCTTTGCATGGGCTCAGGTTAGTCAAAATCTTCTAAGAAGTAATTTTTTATTTCCTCAATTTGTTTTGAACACAGAAATTATGTATGACCAAGGTAACCAAATTAAAAAAATTACTACAACTCTTTTACCAGGGAATGTGACAAATATGTAATGGACAAGATGAGGTGAGAGACAAGATGGCAGATGGGTTAAGGGGTAGGCAGAATAAAAATGGTGACTGTTCTGCAACATTTTGCAACCTAAATTAAAAGAAGCCACTAAGTATTGTTTTATGACAGCAAGATTATTTTATGATAGGTAAAGGATGATCAACCCAAAGGTTATATTTAGATATAGGAGAATCTTTCTAGGCTAAGTCAGTTCCTGGCTTCTTATGTCTTGGATTTTTCAACATTGAGGTCTCCCTACCACTTTTCTTGACTCTCTTGGTTCCTGGGGGTTTTGGATAATCCACCCATCTTAGTGTGTTCCAGATGCATGTGTTGCATTCATCATAATAACAAATGAATGTAAAATCCAGCAGGGATCATAGGGATTCCTTCTGATGGACACAGGAGATGCCCAGGCCCAATTTACTCTTCAAGATGTCTTAGTTTCTACACACACTGAAAAAAAGCAATTGATGTATATTCAGGATACACGCTAAACTTTTCCAACCAACAGGCAATCCTTACCCTACTCAATTAGTTCAATTACTATGGACTTACTAATGTGTTTGCAGCATTTACCTTGCATTTCTTAAAAAATGAGCTTGCGCTAAAGGCGAGGTCCACTTAATACATTAGGTCCCCCAAACTGTTCCAAAACACTAAAAATAACGCTGAAAAAAAAATGTACAGAATAGATAGAATATACTGTATACTTATTCAACAGCCAGCTTTTGACCATGGCATGTAGGTGAGCAGGACATCATGGATTTTCCAATCCAAAAAGGATGCCAAATCTCGGGAAAAGATGCTCCTGCACTGTGCTGGAGTGGCTTCTCACAAGATGTGGGGTACTCAGCTTTCCCAGCCATGTTGCTGGAAAGATTGCAATGACACCCTCTCCCATGTGGAAGCCTGGTGAGAAAAAAGTAAGTTTTCTTCACAGGTTTTTATTTTTTAGCAATAATAAAGCTTTTTGGAATGGGGGTGAGGGCCTGATGTATAAAGCAGATCTTCAATGCCTCCTTTTTATCTAATATTACCCACATGTTTATATATTTGTCCACATGTGGACATCAGGTCAGGCAACTCCAACAAGGAGATCTTGCAGTAATAAGACAAAGTAATTAAAGAACTGAATAAACCACACCCATCCATGTTGGACTACTATCCTAAAGAATTTTTGGCCAAATACTTAAGTCCTCCATGCAAGCCATCTTGCAGTGGTCTCATGTTACTAAAAGAGTAACTCATCTGGGAAGGGTATGCCCATTCAGGAAAATATAATTTTTGAGGTTAGGTATTAATGTTGGTTGAGAAGACCTGGTTCATCATCAGCATTGCAATTCTTCCCTAAGGTATTTAATAGGATTGAGGTCATGGCTCTGCGTAAGACACTTGAGTTTCTCCACTTTAGCTGGCCAAACCATGTCTTTATGGAGCTGGCCTTAACACAGGGGCACAGACATGGTAGAACAAAAAAGATCTACACCAGTTTTTTGGTTAGAAATGCACATTTGTCTAAAATGTCTTTGTATGCTGTAATATTAACAGTACCCTTGAGCCGATTTCGAAGGGTTTCTACATACATTTGGTGACAGGCTAGGTGTGATAATCAGGTGTTCACAAAATGTTGGTCATATAATGTTTAATTGCTTGGTAAATTTGTGTAGGCATGACTCTATAAAGCTTTGGTTTCATGAGCTTATATATTAATTGTGCTTTTCTATTTCCTCCAAAGCATTCCTGCAGGTGCCGCAGTGGTAAACTGAGTTCAGTTCATAATTTGGGGGTCAATAACCAGATCAGATGTGTTGCACAGAGAGCATGTTCAAACCGACATTATGCATGGATCGGTGTATGGAAACCCGGCAATGTAAGTGACTGAGATAGAATAGTTTTGTTTTTTATAGTATATACTATAACCATATACAGTATGGTACACTTATTGAACCAAAAAACCTTCTAAAATAAAACACATAATTACACAACATTACATTCTTACATTTAAACCAAGACGTTAAAAACAAGATATCAATTTGTCACTTAAAGGAGAACTATGAGATGAGTGATTTCCACTCACCTCATAGTTCTAGCCGACCTGTGACAATGAGACTGTCACAGGTCGGCACAGTAGATCGGGAGGTGAGCGAACACATACCAGGTTCACTCACCTCTCGATCCTGTCACGGCTCTCTGCCGTGACAGGGGGAGGGGCTGGATTCCCCTCTCCCTGCTCCCATCTGCCAGCGCTGACTGGCGGAACGGATGGGGCGGGTACAGCTGGCTCTGCCTCTAGATAGGCAGAGCCAGCTGTCACTCACGTAGCTGGGCGGATCCCGTCATCTACGTCGGGATCCGCTCCAGCTGCGGCGTCTCAGTATACCGCGAGCTGTAGCTCGCGGTATACTGAGCTTAGGGTAACGGGAGGACGCTAGTTTGTGTCCTCCCGTTACCCTAAGGAGAACTATGGGGAAAAACACTGACCCCATAGTTCTCCTTTAAATAAAACCTACGGGTAAAAAACAACCATCAGCAATATATACTTTTTTTCAGAATAGATGCTTAGCCTTGTCTGCATTTGATCTCAAGAAAACCTAATAAGCTACATCAAGACCCAGTTTGTGAGAGAATGGTCAAGTGGAAATAACTTGATTTTATATTTTGCCCGGGCTAAAGATCTTCCAGTTCAAGTCAAATAATCTGAATATAACCAGAGTTATCCCCTACCACAACCACATGATAATTGAATTTAAAATCCTGTACTTTTTTTTCCAATCTTCCTTCAGCAGTCACATGCCAGTTTGAAGATACTGATACCAGTTTACTGATAGCTTTCCAAACCTATCTTCGTTGTGCAAACAGTTACAGTTGTCATTTTTCTGTCTTTTTTGGAGTTATAAAACCATACTCTGTTTCCATGGCTGAGAGTTCTTTACAGGTGATACAGGGGTCCATTTAAGGCTGCTGGATGGAACAGTATGGTCACTAGATGTAGCTGAAGAGCATAGGAAATAAATACTTTTTTCCAGGGATGCATAGATACCAAGGTCTTGCTACAAGTACTGATACTTTTTCAGCTCCATGACTAGACTAGAGAAAAACTCAGAAGTTAGGAGCCAGCTGTAATTTTTAAGACACATTGGCTATGGGGCTCCTGGGATTTCTGCATCCCTGTTTTAATATATATTGTTTTATATACATACAGGTGAAACTCGAATAATTAGAATATGGTGCAAAGTTCATTTATTTCACTAATGCAACTTAAAAGGTGAAACTAATATATGAGATAGACTCCTTACATGCAAAGCAAGATAATTCAAGCCGTGATTTGTCATAATTGTGATGATTATGGCTTACAGCTCATGAAAACCCAAGAACCCCAAATCCACAACCTCAAAAAAGTAGATTATTACATGCAATCAATAAAACAAGGATTGTACATAGAACAATATCGGACCTCTGAAAAGTACAAGCATGCATATGTACTCAGTACTTGGTTTGGGCCCCTTTTGCAGCACTTACTGCAATTACTTTTGCAGGATATTCTAATTATTCGAGTTTCACCTGTATATATTAGGGATGCCATTTTTTCCAGACCAAGTACAAGTGCTGATACCTGTCCAAGTACTCACAGATACTGATTACTGATACATTTGTATTTAGTGTCATGTGACAGTTTCTCTAAAACACTACAGACTAATGATTTCAGGACAGTGGAAGAGCGCCAGGGCTCAGTTGCAGTTGCAACCACGACAACCACGGTACTTTGTGTGAAAATGCCACGTATCGGCACTAGTATCTGAACTGGTATCTCTGAATCCCTACTTATTTCCTGTACTCCTCAGCTACATCTAGTGGCAAAATGCAGCATCACATTACATACATTCAACCTGAAAAGAAAATACTGTACATCTATGAACATTCATTTTTGCATCTATTCGCAAAGAACAAACTTTCAGAAAGGTTCAAAGGTTAAATGACTCTGCAAATTGGTTATAAATAGACTCCATACTAAAGCCATGCCAGTCAGAGACAAAAAGTAGCTACCGTGATCTATATTAGGAAACATAGGAGAATCTTTTCAGATGACTGTTACATGGATTCTGGGACTAATAGGATATTTATCATTTTTTGACTTACAAGTTGACAAATATATCTATATATATTTATATGTTTATATAAAATATTTTTTTGTTGCCATTTTTAGTCTTGTGCCTATGTAAATGCTGATGGAAGCAGAGTAAACTACTCTAACTTTGCTTCTGGACAGCGTCGAACTTATGGAACATGGTGCGTGGCCATGAATTTGTCAAGTAAGTAACAAGAAAACAGAGAAATTTAGAAAAAAAAGCAAATATTGAACTTTAAACACACAAACCATTTTTAAAAGCACAGTATACACATGTCTCTTAGATCATAGCATCTATATGGTGCAGTCCCTCCCTCCCTTGCTGCTGAACTCTATTTCTATATCACCCATAATCTGCTTATTGCTGGAGAGAGTGGGAGGGCATGAACTGACTGCTGGAATCAGAGAGGAAGTAGCGGTTAGGAATACTTAATTACATTTAAAGTAAAACTAAAGGATCCTGTATAGCAGTCTAAACAAGCACCAAATCCAATTACTCTTTGATGTGCAAGCCTTGTAAAAACTTTACCTCCCCTGAGTGGGCTAAACCTACCTTTATTTGTGTCTCACACGCTCCACCTCACCACACTGCAGCTCACAGTGGGAGGGTTTCAGTAACATAAGCAGTGCTTTCAGTCCAGAAAACAGTGGACATGACTAAGTGTGGCTGGGTGATGACTGACAGGCTACAGGCTTAAGCAGTTATATGACTGATATCCATACCCTTGCAACATTTTTTTTCATCTCACTGTAGTGCAAACATGAGAGTGACAACTCTGCTCTGAATTCAGGAACAGTACAGCATTGTTTCCACCCCATCACAGGAAGGTGCATTGGGTTAACTTCACTGGCAGAATCAATATGCATTTGTGGGACTTTGCATGGGGTCTAAGATAAATTTGTAACTGTGGATTCACTTATAATTATGTGCTATAATACATATGTTTAATGGGAGATCACAGTTCCACTTTACATTGAAAGTCTTTTAGACATTATCTTGTACCAAAAGCTGTATATGAGAAATCAAATTGCTTGGACAACAGAAGGCAGAAGAGTGACCACAAAGACATAATGGGTGGTGAAGAAAAAGTAACATTAGCAGCTTTTATGACACCAATGTAATTATAATTCCTTTTTATGCAGAGTGTGGAAGAGTTTAATATCCTTTTACAATTAAGACCTTAACACCTCTGTTTCATTTTGTTTCTCAGGTGGCCTTTGGTATACTTTCAACTGTGACACCTCACTGCCCTTCATCTGTACCATCTAAGAGTGACAGATCTAATGAGGCTTCTGACCTTCGTCTCCAATGTTCCTGATACAGCTTTTCTCTCTTGTCTGCTTCTAATAACATCCTCCTCTGCTTTATACTATATACTACCTACCCATTTTTTAATAAATCATAACTGCATTCTGAATTGTGTGTTGTGTTTAAATTCAACCAACCTGCATTCTTTTTCGTAGAAATGTAATTGTGACAGCGCACGCTTTTTGTCTGGATGTGACCCTCAGGTTCAACCTTTAATGCCCTGAATTGCTTCTGGGCTGCTGAACAAATAAGACCACTCTATTTTTAAAATTGTCAGGTTACATTATATCTGTTTCTTAGCCACCAAAAGTGAAAGTTGAAAAAAGGAAACCATTTACTAAAATACATTTTCTGTTCCACTCTACGTGGAGTCTAAATAGCCACTGACAAAAGGTGTTTAAGCATATGAATGCTTTAAATTCTTTTGAAAATGACACTAAACTCAGAAGTTAAATCCTGAAAAGCATTCAAGTATCTTAACTATTAACAAAACTGAACCTTATTTATGTATCACTCAGCTGTAGATCCTCAAATCATCTCTGAATTGGTGCTGACACTGCCCTGCCTTCTGGAGCGTGGCTTTTGTTCCCCATGGTCCATGTGTGTGTTGTAAAGTATCCAATGCTCCAAGCTCACTCCCTCTCAATGAAAATTAGTAAACTAAACATGAGATTGTAGTTCATCCTTGGAGCAAGCTTGGAGTGGTGACTACTTTACAACACACATGGACCATGGGGAACAAAAGCAGCCACCCTCCAGAAGGAAGGACAATGTCAGCACCAATTCAGAGATAATTTGAAGATCTACAGCTGAGTGATACACAAATAAGCTACATTTTTGTTAATAAGTAGGGTTCTTGAATGCATTTTTGAGGTTTAACTCCTGAGTTTAGTGTCACTTAAATATTATACAAAATATAGGCTGTTCTGCTCGGTCCCTCAGAGGCACCGAGCAGAACAGAAAAAGAGTGAAAAAAGTAGAAAAAAGTTACCTGTATGTAAGCCCTAAATCATTGCTCTGAATAGCATTTGAATTTTAAGTGCCTAGTTATTTGAAAGTCAAAGAATACTGTGTATAACTGCAGATTACTCCTATATAAAACACCCAAAGGAAAAGTGTTGTCACCTTTTCTCTTTTAACCTCTGCCACACGGTAAGTACCCACCACATGTCCATTCAAGAACTTGTACTCAAGCTCTGGAATCAGTCTGGTGGGCCAGTGCTACAGTTGCAGCAAAACGGTTTGTACAGATGTTGAGAGGACCGTCTGTGGAGGAACAGACAGGGGCCCTAAGTCAGATGGAAGGAGCAGCTGGTGCCGCAACAACCAACCAGGCTGAATTAGTGTTTTGGTAGAAATATGCTGAATAACCCTTGCAAGGTAACAGCTTTTGTAGTGTATGTTTTTTTTTTTAACCGCTGGTCCGCAGTCCTATTGTTCCCGAAGGCCATACCCGCTCCTCCTCCTAGAATCTCCTGTATGCACACAAGCCGCTGTTCCTGTTGTCATTAGACCGGCTCTCTGCCTTGTGATCTCTGTGATTGTCATGTGACCACTGTCATTACACATGTTTACATTGTCAATCACCCCCCTTCCTCCCACAGCAGAGGCAGGGGACACTAATGAATGAAATGAATAATTTACTCATTAGTTCTTAGTTCAAACAAAGCTGCAAAAGCAACAAAAAAATTAAAATAAGTGGGGGAGGATTTGTAACACTTTTGCCCCCTCTCCTGTATGTCTGCTCCATTCTATATCTGCTCTGAGCTGTATATTACCTCCTTCTCCTCCTTTATCCTGCACATCCTGCACCTATTTGCAAGATAATTCCTGTTGCGAGATAATTTCATGGATCAGTCCTCTTTGCCATTAACCTCAATTAGCCATCTCACTCTTCTGAAGGACCTCTATAGGGCAATAAACAGTATTTAAAACCTGTTGTTGGATCTATCTCTTAAATACTTTATACAAAACAAAACAAAAATATTTTTGGCTGGAGTTTGGCTTTAATTCTGGAGCTAAGTCAGGATTATTGTTAGATGTGTACAGTTCTCATTCCTAATATAACATGCAATACACTAACTTATGCAGTCCTTGTATTTAAAAAAAAATGGTTTCCATGTTTTTAAGAAATTATGCACAAATTTTGATTAAAGCTGTAGGAAAAGTATCTGAGACATATTATAATGACTTTCTAAAGCAGAACAGTAACACTACTAATAGTTACACTCAAAGAGACTGAATGATTAGGCACATCTATTTGGTTGTCTGTAAAGGGGAACACATGGTCCACAACAAGACTTGAGCTGGTCATACACCTTGCAATCTAAATGTGAAATCTCTACAAAATCTCATTTAGATTAGGGGTGAGCCGAGTGTTTGATTCGAACATCGGCAGTTTGAGCGTTCACCGAACTTTAGGGGATGTTCGCAGTTTGTTCGACTGCGGACATTCCATAAGGCAACATGCCCTCTGAAGTTCTGATTTGTTAAAGTCTTGCACCTGACCACAGTGAAAATTCATTAATAAATATGTACAAGTTTCAGGAGCATTTGGATGCAAAATCGTTTGTTTTAATTTTGGATAGAATAGAAAAGGTTTAAATCCTTACCAGGTGTTTTTTGCTATTTGCATCCCATTGGGGAGATTTCCTTTTACTGCCTGCCCTGTAGACACCACAGTAAGTAAGTGGAAATCTCTCCCAAAATGAGGGGAAATGCCCTCTAAAGCTGGGTATGCACTGGTAGAATTTCGAACACACTTTTGTAAGGAAAATCTGGTCAGAACATTTGTTAATGGCATCAGAGACTTTAGTTTGAAATTTCATTTGATTTTAACATTTAAATTTGCAATCAATAGAATTTTTCGAACCAAAAGCAACATTCACTGTTAGAAATTAATTTGTTCAATAAGAAGTTTCCATTCTTGTCTTTCAAATTTGTTTCATCACTAACGACTGGCTATTAAAAAATAGTTTTTTCGAAAGGAAACTCTACTAGTGTATAGCCATTTTTCATTGGACCATTTATCCACATTTCCTCAACTCTAAGTTTTCCCAACAAGCCAGGCAACTAGGAACTACAAAGTGAAAAGTCAGCGTAGGCAGCCATCATGTTTCTCTTGGAAATGGATAATTTGATAATAAATGATCATTAGAGATGATTGGATCCAGCCCAAACTCCCCCCAATATAATTTTGGTACATATAAAATATTTTAGCAAATGCTTGATGTTAACAATGTTAGTGTATAAATCATAAATTAAAAAAAAATAGATGTGTAAGCCAGACTGCAATATAGTTTTAACAATGTGTCCCATCAAAACACAAATGAGAAAGATGCACAATAAAGCAATGCATGCATCAGTGGCTGTACAGTATATATATTTGAAACCAATAAAACGAAAGTATGCATCCACTGATATCAGTGTAGATATTCCCCTTTTCTATGAAATGTCCACTGTACAACCACCCTATAGAGTGTTGCTCACCTTCCAAACAGACCTGTACAGCAGGTCTGATCACGTTGATTGTCTTTGTGGCCGGGCGGGGTTAAGCCCACAATTGGATCCACATGTAAATCTCTACCTGGTCCGCTTTGGTACCCAGCAATACATAAGTTGTATTAGCCATAATGAGAACAAACACGTACCATAGTGCACACTGATTCACTGTATAAAGCACTTTATTAAAATATACTTATATAAAATGCAAGCTTACAGCCCAATCACACAAATAAAACCACTGTGGTGCTTGAAGGGACATCGCCAGATCAGATGAACGCTCTCTCCAGACCTTCTCCACCTGTTCCACCCACCTCTGCGCACTACGAACAATACACAGGGATTCACTTCTTCAGGGCACCATGCCCCTGACAATGTCTTTGTGCTCTACCCTTGGCTGAGCAGTACACTGTCCCCGGAAATTCTGTGTCTTTCCAGGTACAGTTTGTAAAGTGTCAAAATGATTGCTTTGTCTTTAGAATACACTCCCTTTTTAATGCATGTGTTGGTAAGTAGGATTAGGGTTACCTCAAATGCAATACTATTGTAAAATATAGATATAGCAGTGCCCCACTGTGCCAATTCTGTTAGCTCACTGAGAAGGAAAAAATGGTTTCTCTCCATTGTGCAGTCTTAAAGCAGGACATTTGACTAGTCAATTCCTTAGCACAGTGGTCTCTCTACTGACATCACAGCCCTCTCTTCTTCTGGGAGTGTTTAATTACTCTCTGTGCTGGCTTTCACAGGTGAGCGAACGCTTTCACAGGTGAGCGAACGCCGGTATGTGTTCGCTCACCTCCCGATCTACTGAGCCGACCTGTGACAGTCTCATTGTCACAGGTCGGCTAAAACTATGAGGTGAGTGAAAAGCACTCACCTCATAGTTCTCCTTTAAGAAAAGCAAGTTGTTTTGTGCAGTTCATGGACTGTTGACCTTTTGAATGAATAGACTGTCCTTTTATGTTAATGCTTCAGGAGTGGTCACTTAGCACTTACCATTGTGCTGTGTTCCCCAAACTATCACACCCCATAAGAGATATGAAATAATCTGTTCAAGGGTCTTCAGGAACACTTTACCAATCACCTCAATGCCAGAGATCAATGCTAGATCATTTGCCTTCAGTGCGACTCCCAAGTTCAGATTTGTAGGAAGGTCAATAGAGTTAATCAGAGCAGATTTTATCATCACTATTCCTAAATGTATGCAGGCAGTGTTGGTGGCCATTGGTGATGGTCATTGGTGGCATTCAGACATTGCAAACATTGTGGTTCACAACTGTGCAAAGTTTGGAGACGTCATTCTTTAGGATTATTGTACAGGAAGGTAGCTGTGTGTTGGAAATATCACGGCTGCAGAGAAGCATAGGTAAAAATCTGTTAAAAGAGATTATAACGCTTACTGAGATTAAGACAGGTTACACTGGAATGGGCAAGGCTGCAGATTTTTAGAAATAGTGCTAACAATAACAAAAGAGTTCCTTGGAGACCATAACATACAGGGG